TGGTACAGGATCCTTATCTCATGAATGACGCGAAGGGTGAATAATTACCCTCTTACGAGTATAACAGTGACGTTCGACAATCGGCATCGCGCTGTCAACGTCGTCAACGGAAAGACAGTAGCGTTCCCTCTTGTCGCTTGGACGACGAGGGGAAAAAAGACGCAAGGCTTTGGTAGAAACGCTTGTTCCGTGAGAGAGAGAGAGAGAGAGAGAGAGAGAGAGAGAGAGAGAGAGAGAGAGAGAGAGAGAGAGAGAGCGAGAGAATAATACTTCTCGAGGGAGGGCCACCCCCTGCACGGACAGCCGGCGCCCCGTGCTCTACACGGCGACGACAGCCATGTGCCGCTCCCTCCCTCCTCCCCCCCGGAAACCGCCGCCCATCGAGCGGCAGCGGTGGCGACGGCGGCGGCGATACCGCTGTCTTTCCTCGACGCCGCGGCTTCGTTTTATAGGCCCGGGGCGAGATTCCGTTATCGCAGCCGTGCGACGACGACGCACGGGAAAAAAGACCGACTGACAAGACGTCGCAACGAGAACACACGGAACTCCGGATCCTGCTCTCCCGTCACCGTCGCTCTCGATTAATCCACGCTTTGCCTCCGTCTCTCTCACTCGCGTACACACACTCTCTACACACTCAAGCACGGCTCGCCACTCACCATCGTATCCGTCGCACGGCTGTCCGCCGCGTGTCCGTGCATATCCCGGGCGGGGAAGCCGAGTTAACACAAACAGGCAGAAGTTAAATAAGCAGGACGGACGAAAGTCCTCGCCGAGAGGCGAAGCGGCTAAGATCAACGTGGGACAAACGTCGCCCGAGACGTTGCCGACGTTCGATCGACCGATCGCTCGAATGAACGAACGAATGAACTAACGCGAGTCGACTAGTTCATCCGCGGGCACAGAAAATGGCGTTGCACGTAGACACAGTTGGCACGCAGCAGCAGCGGCAGCAGCATCAGAGCGTTCGCACGCTCCGCTCGCTCACTCGCTCGCTTCCTCGCTACGTCGCTCCGCCGGGGCCGCGGCTCAAACTTCGCCGGATCCCGCCAGGCGGCGCCGCGATCCCCCCTCACGATAGCGCGCAATATTTGAATCATCATGCCTAATTTTAACTAACGTTCCTCTAATCCCGCAAACACAATAGGAGTAGTAAGAGACTCCGCACAATAAAAGAAAGAGAACAAATAAGAATTTCAACCTATCAGAAACTATGTATTACACAATATATTATTTGCTTTAAGCCTAAGTTCTACAATTTTTATTTCCTGTTTCTTGCCTTTTATTATTTTTTTATATCTTTTCCCAGTCAGAAATGATAATGGAATCGACGTCGATTCGATGTCGATTGACGTCGAAAGTATCAATGTCAAATAGATATCGATTCCATTATCATTTCTGCCTAGGCTCTTTTTGTTTCTTATCCGGTTTTTTGTTTTATATCGCCCGAGATAAAAGTTAATTTCGAAAGAAACAAGAAATATACATAGCAAAAAAATACAACGTTGATAAAACGATTGCAAAAGAGAAAAAAGCAAAAAATAAAAAACAAGAAACAAGAAACAAAGAGCACATTGTAGAATAGGCTTCAGAATCTAATAGAATCTAATAGAACAAATCTAATAGAACAAATATTAAAATTTCATCCTATCAGATACCAGTTTCACTGGAATACAAGATTTTTGATAGTTGAAATGTTAATATTTATTTCTATTTCTAATATTTCCTCCATTGTGTGCAGGGCGTTAAGAAACTGGCCAATCACAATTGATTAGTTTTCTCACATCTTCGATTGTGATTGTTCAGTTTCTAAAGACTTAAAGCTTACTACGCTCATTGTGAGATAATAAGAATTACAACAATTTATTGTCGTAGTTTGATTGGTTATCATCATAGATCGTAATAGTAGAGTTCCCGATCAAAATGACTCCAAAATGATTATTAAAAGTTTTCAATCATTTCCAATTCATTTTAATGTCATATGATGTTATTGTGATTTGTTGACCTTGTTGTTCTTCTTAAGTTTCTTTTGTACATAATACTAAAAAAAGTATATAGCTTTTAAAAATAATATACGGTTTTTTTACTGTATGTAAATAGTACATATGTATAATACATATTTTCTGATAAGTTGAAATATTTTTGTTCATTGTTCTGATGTGCTCCATTTTTTTTTATTCTACGCAACCTACTCTTTATAGGTATTTGTCCTCGCACATTGGCTGCGATGAGCAATAAGAAGAATGGTATTCAATTTCAAGTTCTGCTTTTTCGAATGTAAAGAGCAGAACTCTTATTGGATATCGCTCATCACAATGTTTGTCACACCGTGTCTCTGCTGAAAAACATATACGTCCTTTCTCAGCGAGAAACAACTTTTATTGTAAAATAAACATTCTGCTAAATCCGTTAGTAAGTAAAATTATTTTACACATAGTAGTAGAACTAGAAGAACTAGTAGAAGAAGAACTATCACGAGAAGCTCACGAGAAAAATATGGAAACGCAAGTAAAAAGATTATTAAAGAAGCAGTTAAAAGAAGAAAAGAAAAAGCTGGAAAGTTTAAGAAGGCAGAGAAATGTTTTATTAAACGACAAGGTATCATCAAATTTTTTGCTTAAATAATAGTATACCTTTTTTTTATATTATATCCCGAGATTTCTAATAGAAAATGTTAGAAATCAATATTGAATATAACATGGCTGAGATACAAAATGTTTTATGTTTTATTTATGTTTTTATCGAAGTATTTATGTTTTATTCAAACTCAAAACTTTTACCATGAAGAACATTGACGTCTTAAATAGATTGATGCATACAATGGAACTATTAGAAAATAATCAAATCCATTGTCACAATCTCATGACTGTTAGCGATGTCACTATTAAAGCTCAGATAAATCAGTTGCAAGCCGAATTTGTAAATATATTACAGGAAATAAAAGATTTGCATAAAAATTTACGAGAATTATTCAGGTAATTTATATAATAAGATCGTAATTTCGTTTTTTAAATATATAAATCAATTGTAGGAAATTGATTTAACGATCCTTTATTAATTATTTACAGAACTTATGGCAATATAATTCAAAACAAATTTGAATGATGCACTTTATTTTTCTAATTTGGATGATACGCTAAAAAGAATAAATCTGACTAGATTAAATAAATGAAAGGTGAACTTTTTAATAACAAAAATTTAGCCTTAGTGTAATCTGCTACTACAATAATCATAAAAAAAAATAATAATCATAAGAAGCGTTTCTTGATGCTAATTATATGATTCTATTTTTATTTTTGAAAGTTGTAACTAATATATATTCTTCTGTAATAATTATAAGTATTCTATAATTAAAATGTAATTTGTAGATGTAGAAATTTGATGAAATATGTGTGTATATATTTATTAGGTGTGGGAAAAAGTTCGTGGCGTTTTTCCCGTTAGATGGCATTAAAAAAACCGCCACGAACTTTTTCTCACATAATATAATGCTGATTCTTGTAATTCCTTTTGGTTTTTTTAAGAAATTTCTTTTAAACGCAATAATATTCTATTCTTTAAACTATATCTTATTTTTTTATTCGTCACTATTTTGAGCCACTTTACATTTTATCATAAGACACTAAAAAAAACCTTTATGACGTTTTATATCTCGATCTTGAACATGTCTGCTGTCTGCTGCTCACATTATTCTGAATGCTCAGTACAATTAAATGGTCGATAATGTCATCGCTCTTCATTTATCATCGGGCCCATCAGGCCCAATTTTTTTATTATCGATAATAAAAAAATTTAGGCTGCCTTTACTGTTAGTGTCGCAAGTAATGAGTGATAAAGACAGAATGAAATTATATTAGGTGAAAAGATGTTCTTTTTAATTAAGTGTTAAATTGCAAAAATTGGGAAATAACAATATGGCGCCTGCTTCCACTTCCTTCTCTAAACACCGACACGCAATTCAGTTATATTCTGCTTCTATGATGGTAGACGGTAACCTATAACCTCTTATAATACGTCAATTACGAGATATTTAAATTCTACACATTAATTCGATCCTCGATTGCATTGTTGATTGCCTATTATTACGCAATTGTCACAAGAAATTTAAGAAACTCGCTATGGTTGAGGAATCAGAGCAGGTAAGTTTTGAGTCCACATAGATTGCAAATACTTGTCTGTAAATAATCCTGGATGTTGCTCCAAAATAGTTGCCACCAATAGATGTGAAGGAACCACTGGATCTCATAAAGCTAAGCCTGGAGGAGCGGATTTATGTAAAGATGAGAAACGAGAGAGAACTCCGAGGAAAGCTACATGTAAGGAACTTTCCATTACTTTTTACTGGGTCTAATTGAAATTATTGGTTGATTCAAAATAGAACGAAAGAAAAATACAGCTAAGAAGGAATAATAAGTCTTTGTTTCTATTGTTTATAAAACGATTCTTACATTTCAATGTAATTTCAGGCCTTCGACCAACACTTGAACATGGTGCTGGGTGATGTGGAAGAGATCATAAACATAGTGGAGATCGACGAGGAAACATACGAGGAGATCTATCGCCAGAAAAAGAGAACTATCCAGATGCTATTTGTACGCGGCGACGGTGTCATTCTGGTATCTCCACCCACATAAAATCAGTGTGATGCAACATTTCGTGTGTGAAACTATCAATATTTTCTGCATAATTTCTATGGGATTCTGTTTTGTTAAAATGTCCAAAAGATTTATAGGACCTAAGCTGGGCACCTGAAAGATCAAAAAAGATTTCATGATGCTGTTCTATTTAATTCAGTTATACTATACATAGTATAATATTCTATAATTTCATGTATAATATTGTAAGATTACATGAATGGCCCAACTAGATAATAAAAAGTGTATTCTTTTATACATGATACATATGTTAAAAAAAAAAAGAAGCTATATGTTGTTATATAAAAGCTACAATCGGAGAGCACATGATACATTTCTTGACAAGTTTTATTATGACAAGTTTTATTATGACTTGGAAACACGTTTCGAGATTCCATTATCGGTAATGTGAGACATAGCAACGTTTCGTTCAACAGGCTGCTTTGTGATCTGCAATGTGAGGTCGTCGATCCGTTGGTCCTTCAGCTTCATTATGCTTTCTAGATGCGAGATCTTCTGCTGCAATGTAGAGATAGTGTCATTTTTCTCCTGCAGCTCCTGCTTCAGACGAGTGAAAATGTGCCGAGGGACCGTCTTGTTCGCTAACTCGTCAGGATTTAGCATTGACTTTATTGTTTCTATATTATCTGTAAAAATTAAAAATGATTCGAGGAAAGGAGAATCTAAAGATAATTTGTTACAATTAAATAGCTACCTTTACTGTCTTCGTGATTAAAGTATAATAACTCTTTATCTCTTTCTGAGTCCTTCAAGATCTTGACTCGTAGATCGGTGAGGACTTTCTCGATGACGCCTGGTTGAGAACTCGCCAGCTGATTAATCGTCTCCTTCCCCAGTCTCATGTCGATTTTCGACAGCACTTTGCGATTCAGTGTGCTCCAATTGTCAGTCTTCTTCGCAATGCTGTTGCCAGCGACATAATTATGCACGTCTACGTACTTAGGGTAATAGCGTTTCAATAGCTCTGCCATCAACACTGAAATTTAAACATAGCGATTAAATTTTCTGTAATGTTATTCCTGAAGGAAATAAGTTTTTTTTTATTACTGCGCTAGGCTGCATTAAAATTTCTTGCTTTTGCCAAATATCGAACATATATCTATTTCACTTTAAATACAAAGAGTGTATATTAGCTATAAAAGTTCAGTTATAAAAAAGTAAACCTAATCTTGGGAGATCATCGACCTTTCGCGGGAGAAGAATTGACAAATGGATTTATATATATGAAATTATATAGAGATCATGCTTTTTCGTTACCTCCATCGGAAAAATCTCTGGCTATGTTTCTTTTGGGCCTGGAAAACTTAATTTGATCGATCCAATCGTAGATTTCGTCGAGATGATCACCGGCCTCCGAGTTTGCGCTCATGTTCACTTTTGCGACGCTTTTGGCGACCCACACACTAACGAGATCATGAGCTCACGTGGTGATAACGAATATGAGAAAAAGAAGGAGAGAGAAAGAAAATCTCTGTTACGTATATTAAAAATTTGTAAACGCGGTCGACATTTTTTTTATCTTACATGCTCGATGTTCGCTCGAGCCTAGCTTCAGGTTCGTTCAAATAAACAAATTTTACGGTCAGTATGGAGAACATGAGCGATTTTAAAAACAAGTACACGGTAGGCCAAGGAGAATCCAATGAAGTAAAATCAAAATAGAAATCTCGAGTTTAGAAAGAATTTTCAAACTTCTCTCTAATAATAATAACTATCGTTATTGTATTCATAAATTTTTTAAATTCATTTCTCTTGAGTATTTTAATATTAATTATTTTATCATTAATTTCACATACAGAAGCATAGAAATTTGCAACATTGTAATATTACTTCAATATTATAGAAACGTTGCAAATGTTGCTGTAATATTGCTAAAATGATCTGAGCTGTATAGTTGTTGAGTGATAAAAGTAATGATTATTAATCGACTTTTCGAGTCGATTAATAATCATTACTTAAGCTCATTTCAATGTAGATTCACTTTAATTTCGAGATAATTTATCTTTTTCTATCTTCTTCTTCATATATCTTTTTCTAATAACTACACAGAAAATATCGTTTTCCTAAGAAAAGTGATTATTCAATTTATTTTTTTAAGTAACAGTTTTATTTTTAAGAATATTTTTTATAATAATAATCTTAAAATATATGTACTTATTACAAATTTTAGAAAAACTCATTATCATGTTTTAACTTTAATCTTGATTGAAATATATATTAAACTTACTAGGATTCAGAATACATTTTGATATTTTTGATGAACTTATGATATTATGAACTTTTAAAATACTTGAAACAAGTAATTATTATTTGCGCACAATATTTTTTTGTGTGTAGAAAAAGATCAAAAGTAAGTCAAACTGAGATTAGAAAGTTAATCTATACATTGGTAGAAATGGACATTACTCGCGAAATGTAGAGGCAGGTGACGCAACCGCTCACCCTTTGCCCTTTATCTGCACGCCGGCCGCCAAAGTCAATGACTGAGATGAGAGTACGAGGCATTGGCCTCTTGTATTTCGTGTGATCCTTCCTTCTCACGCACTCACGCACTCACGTACATGCGTACGTGCGGCGGGCGTTTATAGAAGAGGCGCACGCTCCGCATCCCTCCGGAGACCAAACCGGAGTTGCTCCAAGAATTTCTCAGCTTTACCGTGTCGCTTTACATCAGTGGCACGCTACTCCCGTGACGAGCCGGAAGTGATCCGGTAGACACCAGAATAAGTTCACTCGAGAAGAAGAAAACTCTGCGACAGTATAAAATTGAATAGGAGTACAGAGAATATTGAAGAAACGTGATTAATTACTTTTTCTGCGATACATCTTCGTTGGAATCCTCTGGGTATTGTGGAAGATACGTTCCTTAATACGATGGCCATAGAAAATACTACTGGTAAGCAACGATTCTTCTGGCTCTTAGAAAGATCAGGATTTTTCTAATCTTACAAATGTACTTTAGAATGATAAAATATTAGAAGGAAAAAATTAATAATGTAATAAAAAAAAATCATTCAGAAAAGCTGAAGATATTTTATATATATTATTAATTTTTGTTAAAAAATTTTTAATTACCAAAAAATTTTTAATCATTTCTTAAATTAGATTTCTTAAACTCTAATTACATATGTATAAAAATTGCATCATTTAATTGTTCAAAAAATACTCAAGATAGCTCTAGATTGAGTCACCTTCCATGACCTTGCCGCATTCTCTATTCCAGATCGATTTTCGCGAGACGCATAGAATTTTGATTAATTTTATTGATTGAAAATTGATTTCCAGCTAATGTGCAATATGTGTGAATGCATTACGACGCAACCGGACGCAATGCTGTGCAAGTGCTGATAATTAGTCCTTATCACATGCATTCAACATGTATACAACAATATACAAATTTTCATCTCGGAGTTGCAAAAATTTGCGAGATATAATTAAAATCAAATAATATATACATTTAATTTCGCGTGTGTAGATAGAAGACTTCGAGATCGTCATAAAAACTAAGAGTTGCATCAGGATGACATTGTGTTGTTCAAAGTGACGGCCCACTGTATGTCAGCACGCCGCAAATTCTCGTTCTTAAAATAATCTCTTGGTACGCTTTTGAACATACAAAATCGATTTCACGTCAAGCCAGAAACGGAAAATTCATTTCTTGAAGAACATTTGAAAAAATTGAAGAACATTTCGCCCGCGAATAGAAAATTGTTTCAATTTACAAAACTTGTTTTCGTTCCTTCATTATAAAAACAATTCTCGTGCATCTAAAAATATATTAATTTAAGCAACCAAATGTGCAAGCATCATAATTTTGTCGTGACAAAAGAAAAATTATTTACGACTTATTAAGTAGATGACAAATGCTATGTACAACTTATCACATATTTGTAAAAAAGTAAGAATTCGAATACGATTCACGAGTATAATTGTCCTGACAATCAGGCATCATTTCACGTCGCGATAAATCGGATGATAAAAGATAAGTTAAATTAAATTAATTAAATACTATTTTAACTTTCGTCATAAAAAATAAGATAGAAATTTAAAATTTGAAGTTAGTAAAATATCTGTATAACACTAAAGAATTACGATATATAAAGATAATTCCCTTTGATTAATTTTATACTAAAAAAAACATCTGATTATAATATTTATTTCTAATTATAGGAGAAAACAGAACGGCATGTCCGTTTCGATATCTGATGGCCGTAATGGGATCGATCGGCCTCGCTATTCTTTATGGTTTTAAAGTCAATGCCAGTGTGGCTATCGTCGCTATGGTGAATCATACAGCGATTAAATCACACATCAAATTATCTACGTCAAATGATTCAGAAACTAACAATATCACGCTAACGAACATTTGCCCATTCGATGATATCTCAGATGTCACGACGATCAAAAATGAGGTGATGATCTTACTGTAAAAAAAAGATTCACAAGCAATTCCTATGCCATAGCTTTGACAAAAAGACTTCAGTATTTTAAAAATAAAATAAAAAAAAGATAATAAAAAAAGAAAATCAAAAAAGAATATTTTGCTAACTATTACCGTATCTTTTTAGGACGGTCCATTCGTATGGAACGAATTTATTCAAGGCCTCATTCTATCTTCCTATTTCTGGGGCTACATAGTGTCTATGTTGCCGGGTGGAAGATTAGCAGAACTCTGGTCAGCTAAGTGGCTGATGAATGGATCGGTTCTGTTGAATCTCGTTGCATCCATACTAACGCCTATTGCTGCTCGTATGCATTACTGGCTCTTCATAGCTATGAGATTTCTTCAGGGAATCGGTGGTGTCAGTAACGACTTATGTTAACAGACTTGATATTTTAATATGATTATAACTTCGAGCACTTGAATTACAGGGTGTATCATTCCCCGCTATGCACGTGATGATCGCCAAGTGGGCGCCGCCACATGAAAGAAATGTCATCGCCTCGATCGTGTATGCAGGTAAGACGAAAAATTATAGAAGACGTCTTTGACGAAGTTTTAGCAAATATATACCAAAATCTTTCAGAATCATGATTCTACGATTCTTTCGTGGTCTGTAATTATAACGCAAAAATTGAGTTTCTTTTTTAAGATTCAAATAAAAATCACGATAATATAAATATATTTGATATCTGGAATTTTTTCAAACGCGTCGTAAAATTTTCTTTAAAAGAATCAATTTTTTAGGAACGGCACTCGGCACTGTGATTTCCATTTTACTAACCGGCTTGTTGGCTGTAAATCTTGGTTGGGAATCCATCTTCTATATTGAAGGCGCACTTTGCTTGATTTGGTGCACTATTTGGTGGCTGATGATAGCGGATTCTCCGGAAGAACAAACGAGATTTATTACTCAAGAGGAAAAAAACTACATCGTCATGTCTTTGGGAGGACATAAGAAGAATATTCCCAAAGCGGTACGTTGAGAATTAAATTAAAAAGTTTAATTCTCACGTTAGATCAAAAAATTCTTCATTTTTTTATCCATCCACATTTATTGCAGATTCCATGGCTACAAGTATTTCGTTCCAAACCATTCATAGCAATCCTGGTTGCTCATTTTTGTAGTAATTTTGGCTGGTACATGTTGCTGATCGAATTGCCTACCTTTATGAATCAAATCTTGAAATTCAATATGAGCTCGGTAAGAACTGCTTTAAAATTTGCTTTAATACATGCGATTTAACATATCATAAATTAATTTGTTTATGCTATATTATATTAGAATACAGGTTTATCGTCCATTCCGTTTTTTTGCATGTGGCTCTTCACCATGATTCTCAGTGAAGTATTAGCCATCCTGCAGAAAAAAGGTTTTATTACAGTGACAATATCAAGAAAAATTGGTACTCTTTTTGGTACGTTTTAATAATTAATTAATTAATCAAATGTTTAAAAATTCGACTTTAAATTAGTTAAACTATTTGCGTTACATGTAAACAATACATGTATTTTTGGATCTGATATAACTATTTTCATTATTTTTAAATGCATTCAATTTAATTAAATTTAAAATTGTTGCAGCTTCGCTTGTACCCATGCTATGCTTAATACAAGTATCATACATCGGGTGCGATCGCACAAAAGCAGTCGTGTTGATGACGATCGCGGTGACTTGTATCGGCGGAATGTACTCTGGTTTCCTGGCTAACCATATAGACATTGCACCGAACTTTGCTGGTAGTCTGGTAGCAATAACGAATTTCGTCGCCACCATACCCGGTTTCGTTGTACCAGTATTCGTAGGACAATTGACTCATGGAAACGTAAGTAATATGGCAAAAAGAATTTTAAAGTTTCAAGGTGGAAAGAAGACGAGACCAAATTATTTCCAAAGGAATAAAAAGTCCTTAAATCATTTTTTTTACTTTGTTGATGACGTTGAATATATCGGTGTACTTTGTTTTTTTATTATTTACAGCAAACTAT